ACTATTGTCTTAAAAACTAAATTTCATTTAAAATGTAAGAAATATTAAACAGGATTTAAAAAAAAATGCATTCTAATTGATTTTTGACTAACTATCTAAATATTAGAAAGAGCATATCAGTTTTAAATTGAATGATACCTAGTAATGCAAGTGTAACTTTCATATTGTTATTGTCACACAATTTTACAATAATAATATTTTTATAATAAGATAAACAAAGAAAATAACTGATTTAAACACATATAAAAATGAGTGAATGTCATGTTTATTGCACAGACAATAACTGATTTTTTTTTTAAAAATAAATATCGGTTTTAAAACTGCATTAGGAAATATTATTATTATTATTTTGAACTTTGCAAATATTTAGAACAGTGTCATATTTATAATTATTCCTTTAAAAATTTTTGCGATATAAATAATTAAGTATGCAGTGAAGTGTTAATATAGTAACACAAAATAACTAGCCTAAAATTAGCTTTAAATTTTTTTGCGATGTAAATGATTTTTAAGTATGCAGTGAAGTGTTACTATAGTAATATAAAATATTTAGCTTAAATTTAACATTAAAATTTCTTTCGATTTAAATAATTTTTACGTATGCAGTGAAATGTTAAGATAGTAACACGAAATAATTAGCTAAAAATTAGCTTTACAATTTTTTGCGATATAAATAATTTTTACATATGCAGTGAGGTATTAATATAGTAACATAAAATAATTAGTTTTAAAATTTTTTGCTATATAAATAATTTTTAAGTATGTAGTCAGGTGTTAATATAGTAACATAAAATAATTAGCTTTAAAAGTTTTTGTGATATAAATAATTTTTACATATGCAGTGACGTGTTAATATAGTAACATAAAATATTTGTAACGAATAATATACTATAATAGTAATAGTTTTAGCTTGCTGAATCTGATATTTGATTAATGCACATTTATTATGTATCTGATATCTGATTAATAACCATTTATCATGTTTTCATTAAAAATTTTAATCACAATTTTCTCAATAAATTGCATCCAACAATGAGATAATGAATAAAAGCAGGGTCAAAACTACCAGAATATGATGAAATTAACCATTTTTCTGACCTTTATGGGAACACTTAAAAGCTCGGTAATTTTTACCGAAGCACTTTGGTAATGATTCTTGTAAAATTAACAGTAAAATATGGTTTATAATACGTGATAAAATTTGGTAAATGTGGTAAAAATTGGTAATTTTATCACGAGAACATAGAGCAAGGTGCAAAAACTATTTATTCGCCGAAATTTACTTTCCAGTTTTGTATTTTTCACTAAATGTGTGTTAATAGGAGCTATGTTGTTGTTTCTAATGCTACTTGCCAATACAGCAAGCCTGCTTGGTCAAACCAAGCGTATTTAAGGAATAGGGTGTATTTCTTGTTTTTCAGAGGTGCCATAAACACTTCAGCCGTACACACGTCACAAGCCGCATATACGGCGGAACCTATCATACATCCATTTATTCATCGATAGATCATAATTTTGACCCGAACCATAGAACAATCAATCTCAATTTAGTACCCCCAGAGATATGATTTGCAATGGTAACATAGAGGACTTTGTCACCCTACAGATTAACGGGCACCAGTCACCATTTACTACTCTGGGAGTCTTCGGTAGGAGGGGATGAAACTCCTGATCTTTTGAACAAGGGCCCAGCACCCTACCAACCAGGCTACACCAGTCAATAAGAGCTATAATTTTGAAAACCGGAATTTCCCGTAAACCGTTACCATATGAGTAGAAAAGTTAAAAAACCGAATATTTTGGTTTTATTAACCACATTTTAAAATTTTTTTTTACCAGAAATGTCATTACCATACAGCATGGTAATTTTACCAGAAATGTTTTCTCCGTGAAGTTTGAACTAAATCTCCTCCGACATTTCCAAGAAAAAAAACTTTTTGGAAAACATAGCTTTTATATATTTTTTTTTTCACAATTAAAGTTTCTCCTTTTGTAAAATATATGTCAAATTTGCGAAGTGGTTAAATTATAAATATATACTGAAACATATTGATAATAGTATCGAATGTTACTATGGTTAATAACCCAAACGACATTTTCTCTTCAATTTTATGATCTAATATTCCTCGAAAAAGATACTTATATCTTTTATGGCGTAATATTTTGTTCTCTTTTTTTTCTTCTTCTTTATCCTCTTCTTTAATACTTCGTAAAACTTACATGGCAAACTTCCAGACATTATTCTTGGCCTTCAATTGAGAGAGTTCGAAAAAATTTTCTTTTTCTGTCGACGCCCGTAAAGGTGATAGAAAAGCCAAAATCGATTGAGAGTCGTTGAGTATAATGAAGGAATATTCAAATAAATCCTTATAATATTTTAATGCGAGATCTGTAGGAAAATATTTCACAGCAATTCGAACATTTGCAAATAACTTTGGCTGAAAAAGAATGGGGCTTACAATTCTTGTTGCATTTAAAAAATTATTAGAATAAATTTTTCATTAAATTTCCTTGTATGCAAATAAAAAGTTTTGACATGTTCTGTTTATGTTAAAAAAAATAAACTTAAATCCAAAATCAGTATCTTCTTAATTTGGAAGGTTATTTTTTCAAGCTATAGACTATAGGCTATACATTTCACAACAAATCGCACATTTGAAAATAAATTTGGGTAAAGAAAGATTGAGTTTACAACTCCTGTTGTCCTCAAAATATTATATTCTTGTATGAATTAAACTTTTCTTAAAATTTCCTGGTATTCATATAAGAATATATGTCATATCCTGTCCATATTTAAAAAAACAACAACATATGTTTAAATCCAAGATTTATATCTTCGTAATCTAAAAGGTTGTTTTCAAACTATAAACTATATATTTCACAGCAAATTGCACATTTACAAATAATTTTTGGTAACGAAAAATGAATTTTGCAGTTCATGCTGCACTCAGAAAGTTATTTTCTTACACTAAATACTTCTTTCATTAAATTTCCTGGAATGTATATAAGAAATTATGTCATATCCTGCTCATATTTTAAAAGAAATATTTTTAAATCCAAGATCAGTATTCTTAATTTACGAGGTTCTGTTTTAAAGGGAAAAAAACAGGAACTATGAATTAAATATTTCACAGCAAATCGAAGATTTGCGTGTAATTTTGGGTAAAGAAGAATGAATCTTACAATTCTAGTTGTATTCAAAAAGTTATTTTCTTGTATAAAATAAATCTTTCATTAAATTTCCTGGAATGCATATAAGAAATACGTCATATCCTGTTCATATTTAAAAAAAATATATTTAAATCCAAGATCGGTATCTTTTTAATTTAGGAAGGCTTTTTTAAAAAGAAAACTATAGACTATATATTTCACAGCAAATCACACATTTGCAAATAACTTTGGTTTAAGAAGAATGGAGCTTACCACTCCTGTAGCACTAAAATAGTCTTATATGAAATATATAAAAATAAATATATAAAATATTCTTATATAAAATAAATTTTTCATTAAATTTCTTCTTATGCATATAAGAAATTATATGACTAGACTAGAAGTGCCGAATATAAAGTTGTCGAAGTGTTACGAGTGTTACGAGATTTGAGAGAAATTTAATTTAAACTAAGAACACTATTATGAAGGATAATTTGAAACAATTGGAGCTTAACCGAAATTTTGAGCTGATAAATACACTGTTAGAAGATTTCGAGCATGTTGAACTATAATCTCGTTTAAATTTGTTACACTTTGAACATCGTGCTAAGTTGACTCGTTATCGTAAGTCATTAAAAATGTTTTCGCCATGCTATTGTTTAATTTAACACCTTATTAAGATGCAGCGAATATGCACTGTTTAAGTTAAAATCATTTTGGATCAATGTTGAATTAGTTTATCTAAAATTGTAGGTTCGAAACTTTTTATGGTTTCATAGGTTCGAAACTTATTATGGTTTTTCAAGGCAAAGATATTTTGGTTGAATATTTATTTTTTATATTTCTGAATTTGTAGGTTCAAAACTCATTATGGTTTCGTAAGTTCGAAACGTATTATAGCTTTTCAAGGTAAAGATATTTTGGTTCAACGTTAAACTAATTTTTCTGAAATTATAAGTTCGAAACCTATTATGGTATAGTATTGAACAAATTTTTCTAAAATTGTTGGTTCAAAACCATAATCCTTAAGCTATTAATCCCTTATGGACTGCTTCGGTTACCTTTCTGTAAATTTTTACATGGGGAACTTTTTATGTAACTTTTATGGGGAAATTTTTATGAAACTTTTATGAACTTTCATTGAGAACTTTTTATGCAACTTTTATGAACTTTCATGGGGAACTTTTTATGTGACTTTTATGAACTTTTATGGAGAATTTTTATGAACTTTTTATTCTCTACAAACTTCAAATTTGGCAGAATCTTTAAATTTGTCACGTATTTTAAAGCTGCAAAAATAAACAGTGAAAGATCACAGAAAAAAATATGCTCAAAGCTACCAGAATATGGTAAAATGTTTCGCGTTTCTGGCTCTTTGGGAATACCAAAAAGTTTGGTAATGATTTCGGTGAAATTAACAATAAAATATGGTTTTATAATTTGCGATAAAATCTGGTAATATAATCATGATATTTGAGACCATGACTTAAAAAACATTTATTTGGTTAAATTTACTTTTCAGTTTTGTATTTTTTGCTAAATGTGAGGTAATAAGAACTATAATTTTGAAAACCAGACTTTCCAGTATACCATTACCAAATGAACGGAAAAATTACCAAGTGATTTATTTAAATACCGTAAATTTTGATTTTAATAACCAGAATTATGATATTTTTTACCAGAAACGGCATAACCATACAGCATGGTAATTTTACCAAATTATTTTTCTCCGTGAAGTGCATATCTTCCATATGTGGGTTTTAAATAGTTTTATAAAAGCGATATATGTATGCATTATTTTCAATATACTTTTGGCATTTTTTGTAACCAAATTGCAATTTGTTTTTTAGAATGGTGACAGTATTCCGAAAAACCGTCCAAAATTTCAGGAAACCAACGGTGTGGATGTTGGTGTGGTCATACCTGAAAAAGGAGCCACTCAAATAAAAGTAAGACATTATTTTTTTACATAAAAAAAGAGAAAAGAAGCTTGCAATATGATCATGCTTTTTTGTTTACACCATTCCAATTAATTGTGATCTTAAGTAATAAAAATTATTAACAGTGTAATATTATTGCAAATTTAACGGTGCTCGTAAAATGCTGCTTAGTTTTCACTATGTACTAAAAAAAGGGATGCTCATTTATCACGAAACTTTCTTCATTTTTGCCGAAACCGTTTCCTGGTACATGCTCCGAGAAAACATTTTGTCAACGTGACGAAATAACTATCTTCTCCGACGAGACGAATTTAATCAAAATTAAGGAAATATTTAGTAATTATATTTTTTTCTTCCGAAACATTTCGTATAGCCTATTGTATTAAACTTTTCCAATGGTCACTTTAACATGGGCACCATATAAATGTAACATCACAACAAGAACAGGTAGAACAGAGAGATAAATTACACCCATGTCCGAAACGGGATTCGATTCCAGATCTTCTTATTACGAGATCAACTCCTTGCCTACTATATAGGCTTGTCAGATGAATTCGCCGCTTTATTTTCGATTGTCTAGTTCATATTCTAGTTTCGTCATTCTAGTTAACAATCTCCCAGAAAGCACTACGATCAGGTTTCGAATTGAGGAAACAATTTCGGCATATATTTGAGAGTTCGGGTTTCGTTACAAACCACATGATTTCGCGATGAATTGTTTCTCAGAATTAACGAACTGCTGCTCAACGACTGCTGAACCGTCAAAAGTGAGAGTTTTATTTCTAAGAGTGGGGTGTTATAAGATAACAGTTGAACATGCGCTTCATTTAAATTGAATGATATAATTTAAAAAAAAATCCGTGTCAGTCACTTAGAAAGAGCTGACCATTTGCAGGATATAAAATTTTGAAACAAAATTTTAGTCTAAAAAAGTCAAAAGATTTGTGGTCATCATTGAGGCACGTCTGCAATAAGGCTTTATGTTTTCAAAATTTAAAGTGACTGATAAAAATCCATGTGTGATAAAAATTACCATAATTTTAGTGGTTTATATCATTGACAAAAATAAATAGAATATTTTTTATATCCCAGCTCTGAAAAAGTTTATTAACTTTTATTAAGTGAGAAGGGAGTGATTTTGATTTGTCATTTTTGATTGATTTTGTAAAAAAAAAAAGAAATTTCATTTATGAATAACTGTTTCTCTTAGATTTAAATAACTGCATATAAGAATAAATTTGAAAAATTATTGGTTGGAAGTGAATTGTGTTTGGAAGATTTTACTTTAAGCGTAGAAAAAGACATTTCAAACTGTATTTCCTAACCATAAATTATTAAAATGCTAAATATAATAATTTTCATTCATTTTTACCAAAAGAAATACAAAAAAGAAAAATTATTAAAAATATGTTTAATAAAAATTCTGAGTCAAAAGTTAAGCAATGCTGTACTGAATATGAATTTTCTATTTCTTTAAAATCTGTTTTACACAGTTCTAATATCAAATAAAGACTTACTAGGTAGTGATTACCAATTGAAAATATTATTCATATAATTTCAAATTTATTGCCCTCTAAGCATCAAATTTATTGCCCTCTAAATTTTCAACCCACTAAGCGTCAATTCCGTTTTTTCCCAATATTGTTATCTTTATCAAAAACTCGATTTTCTCTATATTCTTCAATGAGAAAGTAAAGCATAACAAGAATTTATGTGCAATTTTGGCAGGGTTCAAAGTATGGAAAGTTTATTAAAACCAAATTAGACGTCACTAGAACAAACTAGACGTCACTCGAAAAAAATCAGTTGTCAATAGAAACAATTAGACGTCACTTGAAGAAATTAGACTTAATTAAAACAAGGTGGACGTCATTAGAAAATAGACGTCAGAATAAATTAGACATCATGAAAACAAATTGAAATATGGTAATCATTTTATCAAATATTTGCCAAAAACCAATTAGTTTCAGTTGAAAAATTCGCCATAGAGAAGATTTTGTTATACAGAGGTTAATTATTTTTGAAGTTGTTTACGTAAATATTACAAATTTTTAATGAACTTCAAATCTATATATTTATGACTTTTTATTGAAAATTACATTAATACTTGCTTAAATTTATTAAAACTAATAATTCTTATTGCAGAATTAAAATGCTCGGATGTGAAGGCAGTTCTGTAATTTAGAGAATAATATGTATAAATACAAACTAATGTTTATTTTACTTAAAAAATAAGTAATTTTACATTGCTTTGAATTTCATAATGTTAAATTTTTATAAAAAAAAATTCACTTTTTAAGAAGAGGTCAAAAATAAAGTCTGGCACCGTTTAATCTGTTTGGAAACCTCTATTAATGGTTTCAAATGATCGGAGCATTTCATCGCATAGTAGTCTATGATGCATCTTCAATTCGTAGTCGGAATCACTGTCAGATCAGTTTCTTGGACTTCATCGCTGCCCCTTACACCTTTGAAAATCTCTTCATTTGTAAGATATGAAGCAATCAACAATTCTTCGTAAACATCTGTTATTTTTTCCATTTTAATGTGCCAACGTATTCCATGATTCCAACTTTCAACTTCAACTTTTTATAAAAATAACAAAAACTAAAAATAAAAACGCCAGAAAATTCTCGAAAAGGATTAAAATTAAAAAGGCTATGATCTGAAAAATTCGTTATATGGAGACTACCACTTCGTCGTATGGAGAATAATTTGAACATTATCGAACGTTCCCATTAAAAATTAATCTCGTTACAGAGAGAAATATGCTGAAAGAATACTTCGTTGTAGGGATACCTTACTGTATTTGATTTGATTACTGCCTCACAAAAAAACTACTTATTTCAAAAGATATTTTTTAAAATGAATTTTGGATATATTTAATACTATCTTAAGTTACCAGAAAACACATATAATGGATTTATTGGATGATTTTATTTTAAAGCATCGCTTGTTCAACAAACTATATAAATATTTTATATTACTTTTAATATAATGATTTAAATATTCAGAAAATTTTTAACATTCTTTTATATGTTGACTACTTATATGTTCTTTTATATGTTGATTATATTTTTAATACTTTACCAGATTGCGAAAAAGCACATCATAGCTAAGGTATTAGATAATTCAAAAAAAAAAAACAAAAAAAAAAACTGAAGGTAAAAGAACTTTTTAAGAACTTTTTCTGTGAAGAGTTGTTGCGAGTTCTTTAACCCCTTAACGATCGGTTAATTTTCAAGAAAACGGTCATAAAAGTGCCTATTTTTTTGGCTTTTGTATTTGTATTACGTATTTGATTAGTATTGCAACTAGTTTAAAATAAACTAACTATCTACAATTACATTAAAAATATCCTGGTACTGCCATCAGGTGTGTAAAATGAGAAATAAAATGTTTTCCGGGCAAAAGAAATGAATTAGTTTTATTCTTATTGGCG